GGTTTAGTGATATGTGTTTGTCCTTGTATATACCCTTGACACCTCATGTCACTGAGTGTAGTTATGTCTGTACTCTGTGTCCAATCAACTTCTTGGTTGTTGTGCTGTCCCCTTCTCACACACAAACACATAAACCTACATAATTTTAACTTCATCCTCTGTCTCAACTTTAATCAGTAATAATTACACACACACACACACACACACACACTGTATCACACAAAGTAAGATCTTTTGTTATTTACAATATGATAGTGGGATGATTGAAGCTAGACAGTAGATCTACTACATAAAATAAAAGTTACATCCAAAAGCACCTACTTTTTGTTATTCTGGTAATAATTACACACACCGACTGTATAACAAAAAATAAGATTTTTATTTTTATTTTGTCCATACATTGAAAGTTGATGGGGTCTAACACAAAATTCGACAGCACTGTCTTTCATTATATAGACAAAATCATTGAAACACAAAAATAAACTCATTAAAGGTGCTATATGTATTTTCTAGCGGCCTCTGTCGGTGATGTTTCAAATTGCAACCAATTTTTTACAAGAGCGCTCATGCTCTTGCGCATGCTCGAACACAAGAGCAAGCACTCTTGGTACTCGCCGGCCACACTGAGACTTTCAACACACCGGAGAAAGAATCACACAACATGCTGGAAACTCATGTAAACTCCCACTGCAACGTTGCAATAGTAGGCAACTTTTATCGGCTTGATGTTGAACTAATGCTCCATGCTTGTACCATGATAACGTTACATTTGTGGTGTTATTTAGAGGCATTTCTCAAACTATTCATGTATCTTTCACAATCAGCAATGTCAACATAGGTGAGTGTAGCCTATAATATGATCACGAAAACTTTTAGTGAACTAGACTGAACAATTTCAGTGTAACAGTAAGATAACATTACTGCATCGAACGTGTCTGGAAATGTGTATTATAAACAGTATGATAGTGGGATGAGTGACGTTAGACAGTAGATCTACAACATAAAATAAAAGTTACATCCTAAAGCACCATCATTTTGTTATTCTGGAACAGTCTTGCATTCATTTCATGTCTCATATATGTTGTAGTTTACTTTGCGATTTCATAACAGTTTACCATTATTTCAGCAAATCTGAAAACGACCCAACAATAAAATCACATACCGTTCATTTGAAAGACAATAGAATCCAGTTATTTTGCTAGATTAGTCTAACTTTCAAGGGAGGAACCATTAGCACATTGGTTACTGCCTTGAATTATATGCATGGCACACTTTTAGTTATGACTTGTTATACTTTGTCACGAAATGGAGTTTTTAAAAGTGAACGGGTCAGAGAGATACTTAGTAACACAATATCTCTTAAATAATTACCTACTAAACAAAAAAGGTTTTATAAAAAGATAAACCTCATATTTCAGCATTTAAATCATCTCTATGAAAAGAATGAGTCAATAAAGATCCTGACATTTATAATACACAGTAGCTTATCTTTTATTATTAATAATAGTAAATTCGTTCCGATTTCCCAATGGCTGTCGTTGCTATACAACCATACTGCGCTCTCCACAACGACAAAGAAGTTTTAGTAGCTAATGTATTTCCACCACAGAAAAACGCTTGCTGTAGCTCTGCTAAAAGATTTATTTACGGAGAAGAGAAAAACACCCAAGTGTTTGGGTGCATGTGCTGAAAAGTTTATGAGCGCTTCCTGTGAGCGCATAATGAGCGCGCTTCCCGTGCGTGCGCCTATTTGAAATAACAACCTCGAGCGCGCAAAAGACGCAATACGTGAACTAATCAGGAGACCCTCTTGTCATCGCTTCTGTGAACGGCTCCTTCTCAGCAAGCAGGGGCGCCATTGCCAATAATTAAATCGAAATGATAAAAAATAGAAAACCTTCGCGGCACAGAGGATTTTTTTTAACTGCTCGTGCCGTCCCCCCATGTGACATGAAGAAATTCCGCCCCGGGCGACTGCCCGATTCGCCCGTGCCTAAAACCGCTACTGGTCAGTGAAAATAGAAAGTGAGAGCAAACCAACACCACAGCATGTGTGCTGTTCTTACTGCTCATACTCGGAACCTCAACGTGTCTGTATTTTTAGCCGTAGTGACCTTCTTAAACATGCCACTGAATGAGGTCAAAGCAATAGGGGACACTATGCTGATAGTGAGATGTGAGAGACACCCGGACCCTGTGATTGATATGGCTTTTTTGGCTTTTTTACCACAGCTAGCTGGTCAGTAGTGTTAGTGAAACAACCAAAAAGCCTCCAAAGAATGCCAGAACTCCTATACAACATTAGAGACATTTTACCCATTTTGCTGGAGTCCCCTGGAGTCTGGCCAGAATTCCACAGAAATCTCTGCAGCAGATTTCTGTAAAATTCTAATGCTGTGATTTACAAAAGTTCCGACAGTTACCAATAATATTCTAATTCTATAATGATTCTTTTAACACATTTAACCGTTATAAAATCTTTTTGGCAGAATTATACAGATTTTGCAACAATACAGGTAACCCATGGTTCAGAGTTGGTTCGGTTCGGTTCTATGCTTTGGCAATAGGAACTGTAAGAGGTTAAGGAGAAAAAAATAAAAACGATTTATTGGAATACTCCTTTATTTGACTTAAAAGCTAAAAGTCCACTAGTTCCTAGTGTATTATATAATATAAAATTAACGAATTCCTAAATTTTGAAAATAAACATACACGTGAAGTTGGTAAACATATGATGATGGCGCCGCAAATATGCTGTCATGTTGGAAGTGTTTCCGTTTAAGTAGGCTACATGTGTAAAACAATGCCTATACACAGTCATTTTTTTGTTTACCGTTTTTTCTTCTGCTGCATTATACTCAACGACAAAACCGAAATGTCCCCACACCACGGATTTGAAAGACGCCGGCGCTTCCTCGTACTATAGCCTCACTTCACCGCCGCTCGCCATGTTAAAGTGTGGAATGACGGTTAAGCCGTGAGCCGCCTAACTTTAATGGATAGTGATTGAATATTTACTCGCAGAGAGGAGTTTTCTCATTTCAGCTCGTAGACTTACAGGCACACACAAACAGTCAATTTGGAGAGAAATAAAATAAATTATTTTTTATAAAACATAAATTATTCAAACGTAAACCGTATTCACAAGCACGTATTGAACTGTGGATGTCGTACCTAATGGTTTAGTATTATATTGAGAATTGTGGTATCCCTACAATCAACGCAGATAATGTGGAAAAACATGTGTTCAAGTCCTTGATTTAAAACAAAATCTTTGATTGAAATGTATTTGTGGTGAGTAAAGCCGGGGCATATTTAACGACTGTTAGGCTGAACACTGTCTTTCTGCGCGAGACTGACTTTCAGAATTGACTACTGATCACAGAGCTGTGCTGCACTGACAAGCTGCACATTAATTACTGCAGTAATTGCAGCCTTGCAAATCACGTGCGGTTCAATTTCGATTAATCGTGAAGCCCTACTGCAATTCAACTGAACAAATATATCACCTCTGGGTTTAATATATATATGCACTTAAGACAAAACTCACCATGTTTATGAGGAAACTTACCAAAACAGCATTTTGACATTTAGTGTATAAGCTATTTGACCGTTCAGGCTCAATCAGAAGCCCACAGTATACTTTACTTTTGTGTACAGGGTCTCTTTGGCTTAATGCGCTTTTAATGGCACTGTTTAGTCAGGCACGTATCACAGTTTAGCAACAGTAGACTGCATTTTACAACACTCACTTATTCAGCTGGTTTGGATGTTAAGTTTGGCTAAGGGAGGAACGAAAGCGCACCACTGAATGTGGCAGTGGCACAATAATCATTTTACCTCAATTATCTTGTTTTCATAATCGTTGGAAGCCAAAATCAAAATCGAAAATCAATTTTGGTTTACTCGCACAGCCCTAGTTTCAGTCCATATATTTGTAGGTTAACATAGCTGTTTATTACTCTATACTGAAATGAATTTATTCATTATTAAATACGGTATCATTCTTATGTACAGTTAGTTAAAAAAATTGTACACTAGGTTATTCTAAAGATGTTCAATAAATAAAAAAAATCTCAAATCTAATGCACACAAAAGACAAACTAATCTTTGAGAAGATATTTTCAAGTTGAAGTGAAAACAGAGAGAGAGAAAAGAGAAAAACAAAGGTGACAGTGAGATTTCAATGAGTTTTTTTTTTTTTTTTTTGGTTTGGACTGAAATAATGCATCGCCTCAGCTCGCTCGTCCTTTTATTGTACTCCTTTACACAAAGATGTAAATGTACAAAGTTTGACCACTTGTTCTAGACAGCCAAGAAAATATCAGAAATATGCCCTTCTCCTAATCTCAGTCATTTCGTTCACTTTTCCTTTCTCACTGTGTGTGGTGACAGAATTGGCTGCCATCATCAGAACAGAATAATGATACTGAATGACTCTCTTTAACTCAGAATCTTTCCATCATTCCTTAAGCAATAAAGCAGTTATTACCCTTTTTTAGAGACCTGACACTTGCATTAGGATAAAGTCACCTCTACTTACCTCCATCATTTGGCCACTGACACACAGGCACACATACCATCTTTCAATTGTGCATTTTCACTGGGAATGTCATCTCTGAGTGCTGGACCTGCAAATGACATGGTACATTCTAATTTAAGAAGGGACAATTGATGTAAAACTTTAGAGATATTCAGCTGCGACCTACCTACACTATTTTTTATTCTGTTCAATTATGTGAATGTGCATGTACATGTGCATACAAATACGCACCCATTACTCGTATATTTCTGTGCTTGTTTGGGTGAGAGCTGGTATGCTTGTCCTGTTCAAATTACTGATAATGGATCACATATTTGTTCTTCACAATTGACATTACAGTGAAAGAACAAGTTCCATGTTTGCAGTATATTTGTTTTCCTCTGCTGATATAAAATAACAGAACATTTATGTCAGTGTTTTGTCATGCCATTAGTTTATACTGTGTTTTTATTTTTAGGTTTGATGCGGGGCGGAGTGACATTTTCCCAATGGAGTTTTTCCTTCCTCCTCAAAGGACATGCCTAATCTGCTCTGATGAAGCTTCTGGATGTCACTATGGAGCCCTCACTTGTGGAAGCTGCAAAGTGTTCTTCAAGAGAGCTGCCGAGGGTAACAAAAACACACCCATTAATAACAATAACAAGTCTGGCTTTGGATTGTATTAATGGATAAATATATTCACCATATGGGAAGACTGTATTCACTTTAATTTGAGCTTTTAACTACAACTTTAAACTGTCATTAAATCTAGTCTTTTCACAAATGAATTTACTTTTGATCATGTGTCTAGGACAGCTTTTAAAGAGAGAGAGAGATAGAGAGAGAGAGAGGGAGAGAGGGAGAGAGCAAGTAGGCAACACTTTGTGTCTTAACTACACAAATTAGGGACACATTCTTTCCCTGTTATGGAACCCAAAAGAATGTGTTGCAGGATAAAAATAAAATATGTACAACATTAGAAAGTACAGACTTGGCTTTGATGTGTGCAAAGACTTGCCATAAAAATATCAGTACAAATGCAAATTTTATACACTTTGTGTGATACTCACACGAAGAGACTTATCCATCGACTTGAGCATTATTCATGTCTCTTATTCCTTTCCTCCCCCCAATGAAAATAAAGTAAGAAATGTTTATTGAGCAGGAATAAATTGCATTACAAAATGTATTAAAATAGAAAACAGCTATATAACAGTTTAATTAATAATGTTTAGGCTATATAAACCAATTTTCATCATGGAAATAAATCTACTTTAAAGGGATAGTTCACCCAAAAATGAAAATTAAGTCATTAATTACTCACCCCCATGCTGTTCCAACCCCGTACGACCTTCGTTCATCTTCGGAACACAAATGAAGATAGGCTTGAGACGAGAGTTCAAGAGATTTCCACGACGTATGCGTGAGAATTGCGATCTCCTTCAACAACTTCAGTTCAGTTCTCGCACATGCGTCGTGGAAATCTCTTGAACTCTCGTCTCAGGCCTACAAGGAAAAAAGGGAATAGTCGAATAAAGTCGTTATTTTTGTTTGTTTTTTCGCTCAAAAAGTATTCTCGTCGCTTGATAAACATATAGTTGAGCCACTGTAGTCACATGGAATATTTAAACATTTTCTTCAATGACTTTCTGGGCCGTCAAGTTTCGATCCCTTAGGCAGCCTATGTAGCATTGATCCAGCTCTCGAATTTAATCAAAAATATCTTCATTTGTGTTCCGAAGATGAACGAAGGTCTTACGGGGTTGGTACAGCATGGGGGTGAGTAATTAATGACTTAATTTTCATTTTTGTAAAATACACTTCTGATAAACTGATGACCTTTTTGCTTTGAACACTCACCGAGATTGTAGAACAAAATGACACTCGGTTACTAATGTAACCTTGGTTCTCTCTAGAAGAGGGAACGAGTGTTGCGTAAGCTAGCTTATGCTGTGGGGAAATTCCTTTTCTCGAGAATACTGAAGCCAAAAAATTATCCTTTTATTTTTTCATTTATTTAAAATGCATTGTTGCAAAGAGTAGACCTAGGCGAGGCAACTCACGCGTCTATTGGTTGCTCTGCGGCAAATGCTGCAACCTATCAGTGGACTGATCGTGACGTAAGCACCAAGCGCCCTCCCGCCAAAATAGGCATGGCTTATCTCTATAATCCAGGTAGCATGTTCTTTGGTTTTTTCACACTAAAGCGAAACCAGAACACAGCTCTAGCACGGCGGGGTTCTAGCACGCGCTCACAGAGAGTGCATGCAAGTCACCCACTTGCTTGACTGAAGCGAGAGCCATTAGAAAAATGGTTTTGAACGGGAGACATCGCAAGTCCACTGACTGAAGTGGCTCGAAAGGGTCGCTCTTCATAGCCTCTAGGACCATAGAAAGGTCCCAGGCTGGAACCACAGGGGGCCGAGGAGCATTTAGTCTTCTAGCCCCTCTAAGGAAACGGATGAAAAGATCATTCCTTCACCGTGACTGGCCATGCAAAGGTTCTGTGAACGCTGCTATGGCTGCAACATATACTTTGAGGGGGACCTGCCCTCGACCAGAAGCTCTTTGAAGGAAGGAGAGAATCCCCGTAATGCCACAGCATTGTGGGTCTAGGTTTCGAATCAGTAAATAAACTCCCTTTGCAATCGTGACAGTGGTGTCATTTGTTCAATGTAGAACCTCTTTTATAAATTTTATCAGCTCTTTAAAGGTGCCAGAGTGGAGACATGTAGGCACTGGGGGCTCGAGAGTCGACTCTGACTCGAATACGGGACAGGAGACTCGAACTTGAACTCAGGTAATGGTGACTCGACTCGGACTCTTCTTTGGTGACTCGGACTTGGACTCGAACACTGGGACTCGAGACTCGACTAGGACTCGACAGTTGGTGACTCGACTACAACACTGCCGTGCGGGTGCCAAATTGCGCCCCTGGCCTGAGAGAGGAGATCCTTTCTCAATGGAATCGGCCACAGAGCCGAGCTCGTGAGCTGCATCAGTTCCGGGAACTAAGCTTGGTTCCTCTAGAACGGCGCCTCGAGGAGCATTGAGCACTTGCTCTCCCTGATTTGCTTAATCACCTGTGGTAATAGTGCGATCGGGGGAAACGCATAAACCGTGTGGCTGGGCCAGCGTGTCCCTGCTCTTCATGAAGAATATTGGACAGTGCATGTTCTCTGCTGATGCAAAGAGATCGGTATCCGCTCCGCCAAAATTATCCAACTGTAACTGGACTGTCTGATAGTGCAGAGACCATTCTCCTGGGGGAACATTGTCTCTGGACGGCCTGTCCAGTCCCACATTCTGGTGGACCGGCACTTGCGCTGCTGTGAGCAAGCACAGATTGTGCTGGGATTACACCAGAAGGCATTCTGCCAGTGTATGAAGGTGTGTTGACATTACATTACAGATGATCTTGTAATAAAATAAAGAATGAAAAAACTATTGCTTTTTGTTGAATTTAGGCAGACCGTTGACCGTACCGTACCATACCACTCAGTGGAAACCAGCCAAAAGATAGAGGGAGAATGACACCAAGGCTCTGGTCGCTGTGAGTGTGTGGCACACAGCTCGCAGAGTCTGCCAAAGCGTGCATAAAAGGACAGAGCTGAGAGCATCACATTTACATTAAGATAAACCAGAATAAAAATAGAGAACACACACACATACACACACAGAGAATACTCCAATTAGAGGAGCTGTTAACGTGGCAAGCCAGTCCGATAGGTCACAGCCCTCACTCTGGGCACTCGACGACAGAGGGCTTGTCCCGCTGATTGTGCTGTTCGACGGCGCGGCTTCTCCGGAGAGTCAGCGATGTGAAGTGGACACCTCGCTGAAGAGATGAAAAATCGAACAACACACTAACTGGACTCAACTTATGTAGAGCTAAGCCATGCCTATTTTGACAAGATGTGACGCGTGAGGGCGCCTGCACCCTCATTGGTGCTTACGTCACAATCAGTACACCAATTGTAGGTTGTAGAATTTTTTCCGCAGAGCAACCAATAGGTGCACGAATCACCTCGCCTAGGTCTGCTCTGTGCAGCAATGCGTTTTTAAATAAATAAAAAATTAAAGGATAATTTTTTGGCTTCAGTATTCTTGAGAAAAGGGATTTTCCCCTACTGTAAGCTAGCTTACGCAACACAAGAGTACTCTCGTAAGAAAATGTATAGTTTAAAGTTTAGAGGAGTAACAGTAAGCGCGTTTCCATTACAGATTTGCGCAAAACATTTGCAATTTTTTCTATATGTCGATAAAAACCTCTTGCGAAATGACGGCGTTTCCATTAACCAATGTTATGCGACTAAAACGTCTTTTTTTCCTCTCGCGATAAGTCATTCCACAAGGTTTATAGCCTATATCACAGCCACCGCATAGACATTATTATTAGGCTATTACTGGAATGAGAAGTGGCGTGTTATCCAATCGTTAATGGCAGGGAAAGACACAGAGTTCCTGGGTGTTTCACCCTCATTTCTGCTCCAAGGTATTGATTGTGGCATTTCTTTGAGGTTTAGAGTCCAGTAGGCTATTCCTGTAATTATTGTTTCTTTTATGAATTTAATAAAGAACTCTGTCTCGTATTATGTCCAAACTGTCAGTGTACTTGCATTCGTTTTCCCTTATTTAACCTGTAATTGCAAAACGAAAAATGAACGGTTGTTGTGTTTTTAAAATGCAAAGTTGAACACCAACATTTTAGTTTGACCTGTAGACCTACACCAAATGCTGCGAAAAATATATATATCGACGAATTTTCAGATATTTGTTTATGACTTTTTGCCCCTTTATTTAACATTTAAAATATTCACAAATTAATATGGAAAAAATTTGATTTTTCTTAGCCTGGGAAAACCCAGACAACTTCTGGCAAATTTAGATTTGCTCTGAAAGTTAGTCTGGCAAAGATTCAAACCCATTTCCAGTCCGCAGAAATCGCGGCACCAATCAGAAACGTTGGGGCGGTCTTTACACGATGACGACAACGCTGGGATTTTGAAGCAGATTTTGTAGCCTACATTACAAAGATGGACGCCGCCGTCGAACATCACTCGCACGAATCAGCTATCGCATCTGTTTTTAAGCGATTTGAACGTTTCCTTTTTGTTAAAAACCGAGCAAAGAACAACACTCGGAGATGTTTCTCCGCCGGCCGCCGCTCTGCAAACGTCATCTCCTTCATCGCTCTGATTGTTTTTAGGTGTACCCACGACATCTGATGCCCCTCTGGAAATGATTTGTCTATGATGCTTTGCCAGACCAAATCTCAGTTACAACTGAGAATGGTCTGGTTTTAAAGAGTCCCTATCATAGCATTTGAAATGTTCCTATTTTTGTTTTAGGAGTCCCCAAAAACAGTTTAACATGCATGCAAGGATAAAAAACACTTTATTTGTCTTATAATATGCATTTATTTTTAACTGATTTGCTTACCGACTCCCAAATGATTCGTACAACGACTCATTTTTCCAAACCACTCCTTTGCGTGACGCTAATTGGCGGTAATTGTTTTCTAAATCAGTTTCGCCTAAAAACATATCTCCATCTCCGCTGTAAGGTGGATGCACCTTTAGAGAGAAATGTACCTTTCATACGGATTACATAATCAGAAGGTATTAGCTTTCGATTCAAATTTGTTTGTTTTAAATCGGACATTTAAAGCTTTTGTCTAAAGGCTATATATTGTTTCAGTTCTCACGCTTCAGTTCTCTGAGATCATGAAAGCGCGCCTGATGGTTTTAATTTATTTTACAAAACCATAATGTTTTCTTGTTATTGTGAGATTACGCAAATAAAAGTAGTTGCGAATAATGTATTATTATATTCTGTATAACCAGAAATGAAAGAGTATTTTAAGTTGTTTCCACTGTTGATAGGAAAATGCAAGTAGCCTACTTGCACCCGCGCCTCCCTGCCATTCAGTGCGCGCTCCACACTCGCACACACACTTGGATATTTGTCAAAATATTGTGTTTATTTGTGATAATTTTAGCCCTATTATTTCTTGTATTATGAATGAAATGAGACTTGCTTTGTTGATTTTTTGGATAAAAGCGTCTTCTACATATGTAGCCTAATAATGTTATAATAATGATGATAATTATTATTATTATTTGCGGACACGGACCCAAAACACTCCGCGTCTTCTAAGTGGGTTGACTGTAAATGCGCAAAATCCATTTCCATCCATTGCAGTTTTGCGAAATATTCCTTTTTCGAATTGCCTGAAAAACCTCCTCATGCGAGCGTAAAACAGGAGTTTTTGCGAAATTGACGTGTTTCCATTGTGCTTATTTTCATTTCACAATTTCAATTTGCGCAATTTGAAGGGTAATGGAAATGCAGCTAATGTACCTCAGTTTAATCAAACAAAGAAATATCACACACTATTATGTTTCAATAGGTGTCAGTTGAGACATAGAGAGACGTGGGACAATATACTAAGAGAAGTCTTATACTGGCCTCCTTGTTGTAATTTTTTAGATTTATCTACTAGGTTAGAGGGGGTTTTCTAAATATGTGCAATTTGTGAGGTGAAGTGTGCATTTTTTGTTCAACTTAGCATCAATAGCAAAAAAGAATCACTGTTTTCAAACAGGTTTCCTGGGCACAGACAAAAAGTATTTAAAAATGAAATCTAATTACAGTTTGGCATTATTCAAAATCTTATTAGTGCTGTGTTTTGGAGTATTTTTGTAAATCTTGTGTATTTTACAGTATATTTCTTGCATTATACATTTTGATTACATTGCTTTTGTGATTGATTTATTGTTGATTAGGTTTTACAGCAGTATTGTTTTTTTTGTTTTTTTTAACTGTATACATATGTCTGGCAGTGGATGTCTGTCACATCTCACATTGTATTTTTATGTCAGCTCTGACTGCAGTTGTGAAGGTTACTTCAGTTGTGGCTCTGTATTCCTGATTAAGACCCACACACACACACCACAGAACCTCTTGTCAAATCTCAATGCACTTTTCATTTGGCTGTCGTCGAGTGCCCAGAGTGAGGGCTGTGACCTATCGGACTGGCTTGCCATGTTAACAGCTCCTCTAATTGGAGCATTCTCTCTCTCTCTCTCTGTGTGTGTGTGTGTTCTCTATTTTTATTCTGGTCTATGTTTTATCTTAATGTAAATGTGATGCTCTCAGCTCTGTCCTTTTTTGAAGCTTTAATATGGCTGCCAATTGTCTCAAATTTTTATAACTTCTGAAGAGCATCTGTTTATCTTTTAGGGAAGCAGAAGTATCTCTGCGCTAGCAGGAATGACTGCACCATAGATAAACTGAGGAGGAAGAACTGCCCGTCCTGCCGTCTGAGGAGGTGTTTTGAGGCTGGGATGACCCTGGGAGGTAATTCATATCTGCTTTATTCTTATACACTGTATAGCGGTTATAGGGATAGTTCACCCCCAAATTAATAATTTAATTACCCTCATGTTGTTCCGAATCTTTAGGATTTTCATTCTTCTATGCAGCTACCAATTTTACATTTTGTTCAAATTTTGGAAATTCTTCAGTCAGGTTTATTTTTGCATTTGTACAATAGTTAATTGTGACCACAGCTGTCTAAAAAACTGTCCAAAAATCACGGTAATTTCGACTTGAGTGCTATTTGCAAAGTCTTTTGAAGCCTTACTATATTTTATATGTGTGATTTTTATGTGTGTGGAACGGGACAAAAATTTAATTCACTTTTCTTCCCCTCCAATGGGCACAGAACTGCTGTGAATCATCCAGTTGTGAACCGAATCAGTCCAATTTGTGAGCGAATCATTCAGTTTGATTTGTGAAACTCACAGTCACTTAGATCAATCATGGAAAAGAACTGACTCAAAAGAACAATTTGTTCACAGAATGACCTGAAATGACCTTAGCAGACAAGAATGATTTACATTTCAATAATGACATTGTTGGGTGAGCTATTCCTTTACAGCCCAGGCATAGTAATGAGACATTTGCTGGCTCGATCACTGCAAGGAGTAAGCCATCTTACCCTAGGTTGTCCCTTTAAGTCGTGGAAACAAATTCCACTAGCCCTGGTTGTGTGGTGATATGTAGAATTTAATTTGATTTGATGTGATATAACATGACAGATACCTTAAAGGGATAGTTTTTGGTATATTCTAGCTTACCCCAAGGGCATCCAAGATGTAAGTGTCTTTGTTTCTGCAGTATTTTCAATTTTGATATTTTTAGGTCAAACCGTTCATGTCTGTCAGTCATATAATGCTGGTCTCTGGACACCATCTCAAAGAGCATGCACAGAGAAGTCCAAATTAAACATGATTTAATGACTCGTAAATGTAAGTACACATTGATGGCCAACGAAAAGATACGAAACGAGTGGTTTGTGTGAGAAAACAAACACTATTTATATAGTTTTTACCTCTTGTAACCACAGGCGCGGGCGCTTCGGTCTGCGCAAGCGCTGGAAAACGCCGGAAGTGATCCCTCGCGCGTGTACGTCAAAAATGTAAATTTTAAACAAACTTCAGAAGGTACATTTTTCACTTAATCTCAAAAGATGAATTCAGACACGGCTTTAATTTGCTTTTCTTTAAATCTCTCACATTGCTTCATGCAGCCTGAGTCAGTTGCCAGCTAACTGAAGAGTAACTCACCAGTTTTATTTACTCGTCCAAGCCAATTCTTACCGGGATATGGCACCTAGCTGGCAAGAGTTTATTTTGGACCCTGTTTGTGTGTGAAGCTCTGAATCTTTAGAGATATTGAGTTGTGGTAATGCAGTTATATAGCAGCTGAAACATTTTAAAGACTGCTTTGAGAGAGAAAAAGAAAGAATCCATGTGTCTTTAAATCATCTGTTGGGCGACTCACTGAAGTAGTGCAGTCAACTTTGCATCTCTCCTTCTTGGACACTCACTGATTAATTATTGATGAATAATTAGGGTGTTTATCTCTCTGGACTGCATTAAGAGGTCTCCCTCTCTTAAGGTCTTCCTCTCTCTCCCTGTGGGCTTTCACTAATTGAATTCATTTTCATGTGATTTGCAGTCAGCGATGGATAATGGATCAGAAGTAATCGAAGCACAGCTTATTGCATGCTGACTTTATCAGTTAATTTTCAGCATACTGAAAATATATTTAATTTTTGACGAACAGGAGCTGTAAATTATTCCAGAGAAGAGGGACATTTCAATTCATTAGGACTTTTTAAAAGTGTGTTTTAAAACTTTTTTTTTTCTTTTTTGTGAGACTGTATACAGTAGGTCACTGGGTAATGATATCCAATCAGCTTGATTGTGATCAATGACTCTTTCTCTCTCTTTCTTTGAATGGATGAAATTAACTCAGGTTGTGAATCAGTCTCCATCTGACTCAAATCCAGAATTACTGTAATTTTATAGAGTATTTCTTTAGTACAGCTTGAGGACAAATTACAGCTTGAAAATCTAAAATAATTTTCTTAATTGTTGCTCAAGAAGGCAAAACTTTTTGAGCCGTCCTCGCGTAGATGGTAGTGTTAATCAGAGGCATGACACAGAATATTCAAGATAATCATATTTAATAATCACGAAAGAATAGGAGAAAACACGCTTGTAAATAACGGCATTAAAATGTATTTCTTTAAAAAAATGTGTGTAATATGGGTGAAGCTGTCATAATTTGCTACAGACTGTATAAGAAATTAATTGTAGTCAGGAAAGTACCGATGTCATGTCAAGGGTTTTTTGTGCCAGAATTTTGCTATGTTTATGTGCATGCAAATATAGACCGAAGCACCTTGACCTTGATAAATTGCAAATAATTGCTATTATTTATCCAGAACATCCACTGCTGTATTTGTTCTGAAGCCAGAGGTTTTCTATAGAGGCTTGTTCATACTAGATAAAATTGCGTAGAAATTGGAAGAATAATCTGAGAGGAACCTCTCCAAATAAATTTTCAGGTGTGCTGTATAGTGAAGTAATGCATGGCTTTCAGTTAATTAGACGGGCTTCTTGACTTAGTGACAATGACCTGTAATTATCGTATTGAATCGTTCTTAGGCTGCTGATATAGGGCAGCATCACAGTGCACTGAGGTTGTTTCCTTTGATTGCCAAGGAGGTGGCGGCGGAGTGAGGGATATAAATGAGCAGAGATCTGGTTTCAATTGGCCACCTACTCTAAAGCACCTATCTTAAGTTATTATAGAGCACATGCAGAAAGGAAGATGAAGAGAGAGCATGTATTATTCTATAATCAGTCAAATCAGTAACAACTTCCATCGGCGTCTAAATTACAGGAGTAAGAGATGGACCCGAAAAAGAGAAAGAGAGACTATAAAGTTTGGAAAAAAATGTAAGAGATGTGAGGTATTTCCAGAGGAACTAAAAGAAAAAAAAAATGACAGGATGGTGAGGATTAGGAGAGCTGTCTCTCTGAGTAGAGAAAAGAGAGGAGAAAGAGTGTTATCAGCACATTATAGAATTATGCCACTTTTGCCCCTCTAGACCCTCTCTGGCAGCTGGAGGCCATATTAACAACATCTCAACACCTTTCACAGTACTGTCTCATTGACACACACATGGTCACATGGTCTCTTGCTTCTCTATTAGATTGTCAGGGGTCTGGGTGAAAATTGAATACATGATGAAAGCCATTGTGCATATGAGAGAAAAGAAGGAGGGGGAAAAAGAGGGCAAGGCACCACAGGAGAGAGATACAAGAAAGAGCGGCAAATGGCAAAAAAAAAAAGAAAAAAAAAGAGATGCTATAATGAAAAGTTAAGACTCATTACATGCAGGCCTGGCGTGGGGGATGTGGGTCTATTATGCTATTATGATCTCAAGCTATGATCCCTATTATTGGGCTAATTTTATTATTAAACATTACAATTCATTTGCCCCGCAATCATTTCATAGCACATCACCGTATAACCGACAATGTTAGATTAGCTTACTTCTCATTTTACCCATACTCTAGCGCTGTTTGCGTGTCGGTAAAAAATGCAAGTACTCGTCACTGTAGACTGTTGCGAGATGACGTCATATCTTGTAGCATTTTATTTAAAGTTTATTTTCACATTCTGTTGGCTGTTGCACTTCACTTTGTAAATGACAAAATTACTGTAAACACTGATGGCACCTTATTTATTTCTTATTTTAATCATTTCCCTTTAATAGTTAATAATTGTTTATTTTTGTGCATTATACAGGCTATCCTAAAATATTTATTTCAATAAAGTAGTTTGAAGTTAAACCAACTGCATACAGTACATTGTCAATCTCTGTATCCGATATTATTATGCATGCCAATTTAAAGCCAAACTCCTAACAGTTATAACTTTTATTTCAAAACAAAGATAATTGTGTAAAAGAAATATGTACAAATACAGATAATCACATACATCTGTACACACACAGACACACAGTGACAGTGACACACACATACACACACAAAAACACACACACACACACACACACACTACTCGGCTTGAAATTACCCTCCATCATTGAAAAAACAGTCAACTGAGGAATAGCCCTCAACCTCCTTATCAGAATAAAATCAACGCAGGACTCCCTTTCTGCCATCACCCATATACCCAGGTGGGCAGTCCTTATAGTCCAAATTTGACATTGATATCTCAAAAAATGAACTTTCAGTACGAATTTGTTTGTGTGCAGTACCATATGTTTCTATTGAAATTCATTTCCCATTTATTTCCTAGTGACTCTTTTTTCAAGACTATTTAATGTTTTCGAATCATATAGATGAGTGTGTGGGTGTACAGACTTAGAGAATACACCAGAGGGATGCATAAAGACAACACTGGCGTGTCCAGTCGCAGGTGTAATATTTCAACCCCAGGGATGGCAAGGTGGCTTGCCGAGGGAAAGACATGCTCAGAGAAGCTTACAGTGGAAATACACATGTGGGGGTCACCCAGAAAGTGGACCATGCACATAAAGGCACCTAGCCAAGTGCACAGGCAATAGACACTGGCGTTGACGTCAGCAGTGCTGGAGGAACTCAGGGCATGAGGAGGAAGCTCACCTGAGGAAAATATTACATGTATCCAGTCTGTGTGGGTCCACCATAGCGGGTCCGGTACTAGCTGGTTGAAGCGAGTACATGAGAGGACACAGGCTCCACTCGGAAATTGTAGAATCTGGTGAATGTGTTGGGTGTCGCCCAGCCTGCAGCTCTGCAGATGTCTGTTAGCGAGGCGCCATTCACTAGAGGATGCCACTCTCCGGGCGGAGTGGGCAGTCACACCAAGAGGGCATGTTCGTCCTTGCTGCTTGTATGCCAAAGCAATGGCATCCACTATCCAGTGAGACAACCTTTGCTTGGAGAGAGCCTTTCCCTTCAGCTTCCCACCATAACAGACAAAGAGATGGTCTG